CATGGCCAAGGCGATTTTTAATTAGCTCAATTACTAATTTCTCATTCTCCTGTTCAGTGACAAGTGTTTATGCACCTTCTTTATGAATTCTTTACCTTTTGATTTCAGTTCACAGTTACTTACGGTGTCAGATATTTTCATAATACTTAAATAATTTCCATCCCTATATTATTGTCCTGGCTACGTCTTCATAAAACGTTTTGATCAAAAATTGTTGACATTTAAACTTGCTTTAACTATACTTAATTACGATCGTGCAACTGCAGGGAATGATATCGCCGAAACAAATCTGTTCGCTGAAGTCTTTGGTTAGATTTTTCATATTTTCAACAATATGTAAAACACGAAATTAAAATCCAATCAAAAAACTTTATGGGACCGAATAAATTCTTTTGACTCATTGACGTTGTTCACTACATGACCACTTTTGACCAAGTACAGTAAGATACATTTTCACGTTAATTTCCTGTCTCACAATCTTAAACAATGAAATAAAACAACCAGTAACTTCCGGAATATACCTGATCAGCTAAAAAATAAAATTAGAAGTTTCATATCATTCAAATCATTATAAACCATTCTTTCAATTTAAGCGAAAAACGTAGGGAGGGTACGCATTGCTGAAGGGATATCAACAAAATTACTATCTTGGATATATGTATTGTAAATACGCGTGCATAGAATTTCAGTCCTTTTTAATTATAGTGAGTCTAACGTAACTGGAACCATTTTTAATACACCATGATGTAATTTTCATAGGTTATGTGAAATTGCTGTAGATAAAAGTATAGTTGTTCATATTAGGCTACCTTTTAGTCAGAAATTTTGTTTGCAATGCTGTCACCTGGCCTACTGGAAATCCTGACAGCAGCTTAACAAAGAAATGAATAGCAGTGGTCTCTCATTATTATTTATAGTGAATAGCAGAGACCGGGATTTTATGCATTTACGGAGTAGACAGTTGGTCGAAGTTATGGAAATATGACTGACTTTTTTTCTCTGTTTGCAACAGATTGGGTGATTTCTAATGTTTGTGTCACTGCCTTCCATACAGCATTTTTTTGAGTAAGCCGGTGAAAGCTAATACCGAAATTTCGATAGTATACCTGAGGCTGTAGAACTATGTACTTTAGCACAACCTAATTTATGAAACTGCAGTGTTCAACAAAGGCATCTAAGCTGACTAAATAATAAATGATAGGCTGGTTAAAGTATTCACTAAAGAATTATATATCTTCTTCACAAATGACTGCACACACTAGAGTGATAATATCTTATCTCGATCATAATTTAGCTTTTCAAATAAAGATCTTAATGTTGGTTAGTTACTGGATCCTATCTTTGTTCATAACCAGAGACATTATTCCTGCATGTTATTTTCAACCTGTCAGTTAAGAATATGCTAGAGGATCTCATCAAAACTTACTCAGTATCTCATCTATCCTACTAAAACTTATTCGGATCTGTATCAAACTACTTCGATGGGAAAATAATGTGGTATCGAGCTAACAAGTTGCGGATTACTCAAGTACATGAAAGATGGACGGAGCTTACAATTATTGCAGTAAAATTTAAATCCACTTATCAACTAGATTTCTTCGTTCAGTAAGCAGAATGCTAGATTGTTGACCCAAAGACAACTGTCTCTACTTATAAGATGGTCACGTCATTTTTAACAATTCACTCCCCATTGCCTTGTAGAAGCAAATTTCTGTAGCAGTTCTCCAAAGGTAAATGAACTGATGTCATCAACATTTCAAAAAACTATAGATTTTCAGTACAAATCTACGCTACACTCCAGAAATAAATGCGACGTCATATTTTGAAATCACAACAAAATATCTGTGATAATTTTTTTCAGTAAAAACAAATGAATAACAGCTGTTTCGAAAATCATAGAATTCAAGTTGTTATTGAATAATTGTGGACAAAATCGATTTAACACTCTAAAGGAGAGTTTCAAGGAACATGGTGTTGGTAACCAATTTTCGGAAAGTACTGAAATTAACCAAATTAGCATACTAGAATATAAAAATTAAGGGATGTAACAAAATTTACTCTGTGAAGGAGAATAAAATTTTCTGAAATATTTTTCAAATAGCTAACTTAGTATATGATTCTTTATTTTCACGTTGAATAGCTATTTCAAGTTGAATGTTTCACCAGGATAGGAGTGTAGACTAGATATTATGGTAGATCACAGTTCCAATTTCTTTTAAAGGTAAAATATGTTGGCATACGGATTCCATTGAACTCATCAGGGAGAATAATTTATTCTTGTTACTATCATGAGATGTCAGTAAGTTTAAGTATGCAGATTTCACTAGTCTACCGTCATCACCCAAACAGTTTAGAATGGAAGTACTAAATGAGTAAAAGCAGGCTGTGGAAAGGTTTAGTCAGTGCCTCTCTTACACTGGTATGCAAAAGTTATATAATATGTGACTCACTGTTGGCCTTAACGTCTTCCACTTTTAGGAGATAGTAGAGATTGACCACTTTGTCTCATGAGCAAACCAAGGCCTAATACATACAGCAAGAATCCTTAGACAACGATTTAATATGAATATAAAATTCCCCTTCTAGCGTCGTCATAAGTTAAAAGCAATTAGTTTATAAGAGCATCATATAAAATGTTCCATGACTACTTAGATGTGATGGAATAAGAATAAGGTAGAACCGGGAATAGATTCACGAGATGATGTATACTGGTCATCATAATTCTTCGATCACAGGATATGAAATAAGTAGGAAGGATACAGATACGTTTAGTTCCCAGCCTACTGTAATTACAACACATTTCACATCCACATGTAACCTTTCTGCCTTCTTCAATTAGTCTTTTTTACGGTTCTTTCAATATTTTTGGCAATGTCGCAACCCTTTCTTCTTCTGCTTGTACTGTTTGTACCGATAGGGATCAAAATTGTGTACTTCTATAAATTCACTCTGCACATTAACTTGTAGAAACGGGTTCACGAACGGGACTGCAAAGTGGGTGCTTGAAGAATTCAGTGTGATTGGAAGTGAAACCTGCCGCCTAAAGAATATAAGCATATGTTAACGATTGATCAGATAGCAGAGAAAGTGTTGTCAGTTTATTCTTGATTAAACTATTTTTCAATGAAATCTCTTGACAGAAACCAAAATGACTTAGAATGCACTTTCATTTCTACGATAAAATTCTATCTCATTTCGGAATATTTTGAAGATATTCAAACTACTTAATTTGGTTTATTTGTAGTTCATCTGCACCATTTTTTAGTTTAATCTTTTGTGATGAATCAGTTGAAGTAAATGTGCTTATTTGGTTATTTACATAATAAGCCAAGTAGGGGGTTAGGGCTAAAACTCGTCTGTGACATTTGATAATTATCATACTTTATCACGGGTTGAAATAAGTTGAAGTACGCAAGTCATTGTGCTCCCGCCAATTGGCTGAGTGGAAAAATGCTCAAGAAGAAGTCTAAAGTCCCTGGTATAAGTTCTAGGAAACGCTTACTACCGGGTAGTCCCAAACTTGGTTTTCATTGATTCACTAGATTTATTGAACTATGAGTGAACTCTTCTGAAAAAATGTTATTTGGAAACTAATATTCAATGTCTACACTAAGTTTTTTGCTTGTACGTTATCCTACATACACTCAGTTTTACTCGGAACGTTTGCATGATAAATTAATGAGGCATCTAAATCCGTGAGCATCTAAATAAGTTGGTTACTTCAGTTTCACAAACCAACGACTTAAATTCGGATCAGTAAAGTATGGATATGCGTTGACTAAATGATGAAAGTAATTAAGTTTCTTTAACTGCTGAAGCCACAGGATGTTTGTTAAACTAAGTTACGTGAAATTTCATGATAAATAAAAATAAAAATTAGCTAATGGTCAATCACCTCTCTGTTCGTAATGCATATCACGCATGTCATTGTAAATAATTGACATAATACGTATTTCACAAATGAGTTGATTTGAACAATACAATGTTCAGTGGAGAAGTGTCCAAATACATCAGGTTCGTTAGATGAGATGTAACTTGTAGTAGTCTCCAGTAACTTCTAATCCTTAATATCAGAGTTATGTATGTCATTGATGAGAAGGCAACAAAATACAGATGCAGTGCCGCTTTTTTTAGACAAACTGTTTCTAAAATAGTGGATGAGAGTTTAATCAGAAGCTAACTCCAACAATATTACAACAGGATATAACGTGTAATCGAAGTACGCTACTTCGTTTACTTTATTTCACTTATCCCATGAGTTTCCCGGCTAACAAATTGCATTTGGTAATGGACTTACCTGAAGGTGGTAAAAGGAGTGTGACACTATTTTTACCTCAGAACAACAACTTGTCGACAAAGTCAAGGTTCAACCTGACAGAAACTAGGAAATCAACGAGTACCTGTTTGGTTTAGTACGGTTAAACTTTGTGGCTCTTATTAAGAAAAATAAGCGCTTCAACTGTTCATTCAAATTTGTGAAGCTAATCTCCTCATACTTAATGTAAACATAATATTTGAACAGTGCGATGCAATGTAATTCCATACTAAATTTGTCCATTTGATATAGCAAACACTGATTCCTATAACTTTATTTTCTTGTTTTAAATAATGTGACAAATCAAATGCTAGCCTTATAAATCCACAAGATAGGTTGTTGTTACCTAAATGTTTGGCATAATACAAGTTTTAACAAAAAGGGTCATGGGTTTTTATCCCGTTTCTGCTTAGATTTTCATTTCGCCTTCAATTGTCATCCAGTAGTAATACACGCCTGCCGAACCACGGTTAACTCAGAAAGTCCAAATACTGAGGAACGTTTCAAATTCATTTCTTCAAAATGACTATTTCTATTCACCTTTCATGTCTAAGGAGATAAGGGAATCAGTGGTAACCAATTTTCTGAAAATATAGTACGACAGAGGTTCTGTAGACAGAATATGCAGAAGTGATACTGACTTTGTGATTACTATTTAATTATCTTCCTGCTTTCCTTTTTCTAGCCAATCATTGGCTCATTCACAAGGCGAATTGAGCCAGTGTCGAATGACTCAAGCACTGTGAACAAGCAACCAGAGTTTGGAAATGTAAGTTGAAAGAAAAATATCCACAATTTGGTTCCTACTTTTTGCTAAAAACTGGTTTTATTAGTAATCTGGTTAATGAAGTTTGTATATTCTTTGTGCTGGCATTCAAACAAATAACCCCCATGTTTCCAGTTCGGCTTCCTGCTGAAGCAGTCACGAAGACAAATTGATAATCACGTCGTTTATTCCTTACTAGAACCAAGTTTGAACCTCAATGTAAGCTTTAAAGTTTCTGTACGTAATGAACACTTTCAAAAAGTGTTTACCTTATGTTGTGATGACTTCTTGACTTCTTGAAGGAGGAACAGTAAAAAATTAATTCATATTTGTCTCTTTTACTCTCTACGTAAAAAATGCGTTTCATCGGAAATACCATTTATTAAGAATAGTTCCGTTGCAGTCTAGGGTTCTAACATGCGTTATTACCTCAAATCCAGCGAAAAGGTGGTGTTAGTTTCGCTTACCAAGTAAACACATGTCTGAAATCATAAAAATTTTCTAATTCACACAAATTTTTGAATTGTTAGCCTTCATTTTCCTGATGCTTCCACTTTTTTGATGCGGATTTGAAAGCAGAAGTAAATGAATGCACACTTTTGATCTGGTATGATTTCTAAGCATAATCATTTTGAAACACTGAAAAAATTCAATGACATGATTATATTTAAGTGTAAACACTTAATTTTGAATTGTATAGGTGAAGTCACAAAACAGTTTAGGCTGCGACATGACCCGCTTATGAAATGACCACTAATATCACAGTCTAATCTACTTACTACCTTCTTACTTGGTTAACGATAGTGAACAACGTGGATTCTAACTTAAACTGACAAATGTTTACAATGATTATCTGTTCCTTTCGATGATGGAAGTCGCAGTTCCCATCTGTATAGACAAATATGGCTCACTTAGTCCAGCTGGTTGTATGAAAGGGACTTGAGGACACAACAATCTGTGGTTTGCAAACTTGCAACGAAAAAGAAAAATTAAATATCAGTCACTTACAATATTTCATCTCTTTATTTTAAGATTTTCAAAACATTCACCTACATAAAAGGACTGTGCTACGAAATTATTTCGTAGTTGAATGAATTTCATGCTAACAGGCTGCTCACTTGTTAGTGACACCATGGCACTCTGGCACACTGAACAATCGTTGATATATTTGTCACAACTCTCTTCAGTATCGGTAAATGAAACTATTTCTTGGAAATTTTGGAAAAACGAGTTTTATTCACAAATTTTGACAGAACAGTGGTAATTCAACGGAATCGTGCACTATAATTGGGCAACATATTTGTGTGATCACACAAACACGGAGGAAACTCATCATTCAACAAAAGTAAAGGCTTCTGATCACCTTCCAAAGTGTTTTCAGAAACAGATTCGCTTGATACAAATGATGCTGGAAACAAACGCTCAACCTCTTCAGTATCCAAATATATCATTAAAATGGATGTACTAATGTTACTTAAGCGCATCTACAGGGCATATTGAGGAGGTCTTTTAAAGTTTGTTGATGCATAAGCCATTAGAGGGTTTAGACTACTTTTATGCTTTCAGAAAGAATATCAACACATTTAGGCCTCCTCGGTTATTTCCTCACTGAACCCAAAGTTATTTTACGCTCAGTTTCCTTTGTTATTGCTTTATGGATCTTCACTCTTATTTCCACCCTAAATGTCATCGTTTCATTTGACTGATATTCATTTTAGTACCCTTCAACTCGGTAGTTTTCCATGCAAATCCCTATGAGAAGTACCTGTGTGATCAGATTCTTCGAAATATATTGCTTGAATACATTAAACGGTTCAAATGAATCATATTTTGTTATTATTTCGTCAAGATACCCTTCTCTAAAATTTAATCAACATAAAAGTTTGTATAAGTATTCCTGTTACATGCTAGAGAAGACACAAGAAAACAAAAACTATCATTTATGTTCCATTTACTTCTTTGATTTATCTCATCCTACAGATAACAGGTGCACCGAAAAAATCTGAACTCCTAAGTCATTTACCTACAGATTATCAAAAGGTATGTACTTTTTTAAAACTGTGCATTACTGGGGTGCCTTCCACGTATTTGTTGTACACTAAAATTTATTATGAAGCTGTTGATAGGGTGAGACCAAACAAACAACAGTGTAAAAGAAGAGCTAGTAGGGTACTCGAAAATATAATAAATATAATAAATAATAACATAATAATAATATAAAATATAATATAATAATAGATGAGGTGATTTTGGTATATTTTCATTAAAATACTGCTTCACTTTTCTTTATGCGACACCACAAGGGAATTATAAAAATGGGGGTGAAACTAGAATTCGAATAATATTTATCTATTAAGCTTATTCTTAAAGTTGTAGACAGTAATCAACAGATTTTTGCGAATAGTTTATGTACCAAAAAGTAGGAACGAACATTTTAGTGTAGATTAAAATTTTGTATTAACTTGTTAAGTGAAGAGAAATTTTTTTCTGATTTGTCGAACTATTAGTATTACGAAGACACCTTTATTATTCAGAAGATGACCGGAACATATTATATATCATTCCTTCATATCAACTCCAAGGATGTGACAGCAGATTTGTCATGTCATAAGATATAATTTTAGAGTCAGTTGTATCAAATCCTGCATTCAGTATTATTTTTTATTTTTTTTGGTTTGTCCCTTGGGTTACTAATAGAACCTAGGGCTTCAGTAGTACGTCTCCAATGCGCTCTGTTCTCTGAAATCTTTTGAAGCTTGCTCCACGACAGCCCACAAGCTCTTATTCTCTTATCGCACTATCTCCTCCATGTCATCCACACCTCGGACGCCCCACTCGTCACTTCCCATCTTGGTTCCACTATACGTCCTGGCGTGTGGTTTCATCAGTCGGCCTTCTCAGTGCATGCCCAATCCATCTCAGTTTCCTTCCACTGCATATTTATTCGGTGATGGGTTCTTTGTTGGTTCGTTCCTAGAGTTCCTTGTTGCTTATTCCTTCTGGCAGTCCATCTGATCTACAGTAGTGAGCCAGCGTAGGCAGTTGTTGATGAATGTCCGTAGTTTATTGGAAATTCCTTTCGTAACGCGCCAAGTCTCTCAACCATCACATAGAAGCACTGACTTTACGTTGATGTTGAAAATCCGCATCTTGTTCCACATGCTGAGTGCAGTGCAGAAGATCTCCACACTGGTTTCAGGCTAATGAACGCCTGTCTTGCCTTTCCGATTCTGACTTCGATATCCTCGTCTGTGCCGCCTGTATTTTAAACAGTGCTGCCTAGATAGGTGAAGGAAGCTACTTCCTTTAGGTTTCTTCCGTTGATGATGATTGAAGCTTTCTGTTGTTGTTGGTTGGGTATCTCCATCACCTCTGTCTTCTCCATATTCACTTGAAGTCCCGTCTTCGCTGCCTCTTCTGTCTACTTGTTAGTTTTCGTCTGTAGATATTCAAGTTTGTATGACATCAGACACAAGTCATCGGCGAAATCCAGATCTTTCAGGTTCTTTTCCGCAGTCCAGTGTATCCCCCTCTTCTCGTTCCTCACTGTTTGTTGCATGATCCAGTCGACCACAATCCGGAATATCATGGGTTATAGTAGACAGCCTTGTTTCACTCCTGTCTTCACTCCCACTTCAAAGGCATCACTGAGCTTCCCATTGTGAAGTACTTGGCTGGCATGTGGCGTTTTTATATAGTTGTTGAATGAGATTGATAAAAGTTTGTGGTATCCCTTAGTATTGAAGCACTTTCCAAATTACTGCTCGGTCGACGCTGTCAAAGGTTCTCTCAAAAATGATGAAGTTGAGGTAGGGAGTTGACTGCCATTCTATGCTCTGTTCTATGATGATGCGAAGCGTTGCAATTTGGTGCGCACATGATTTGCCCTTCCTGAATCCAGCCAGCCTGTTTCCGTCATAGTTTTGAATCCAGTGCATCATTTAGTCTCTCCAGGATGATGTGGCTTAATATTTTGCTTGGGGTGGACAGGAGAGTGATTCCGCGCCAGTTCTCGCAAACACTTAGGTCTCCTTTCTTCCGGAGTTTGACAAGTTAACTCTTCTTCCTATCTGTAGGTACCTTCCCTTCCTCCTAAACCTTCTGCAATAGTGGTGTGAGCATGTCCGCTGTTGTCTCTTTGTCTGCTCTCAGTGCTTCTGTCGGGATCCCATCTGGTCCTGCTGCTTTCCAGCATTTCAGTAGCTTTATAAAGTTGCGTTCAGGACTTCAACTTTTGTTGGAGGATTTGTGTTCACTTGTAGTTCTGTGACTGTGCTGTAGGTGGTATTTCTGGATGAAGTGTAGGTGGTGGTCGATTCAAGAGCTTCTTGAAGTGGTCAGCCCATCGTTTCCTTTTTTTCTCTTCTTTGGTAATTAATTTTCCTTTATCATCTTTTATTCGTTCCATCTGTGTTGATCTCTTCCCTTCCAGATAGTAACCTCGTTATTTGATACAATGTTGTCAAGTCTCTGTCTCTCCAACCAGCAGCCTGTTCTGCTTCACTTGCCAGTGTTTCAAAGAAGTGTCTTTTGTCTTTCCGTGCACTCCTCTTCACTTCTTTGTCCAATGTAATGTTTTATACATTGTACTCAAGTCCTCTTCTCGTTGTTCATCCTTGCACTGGTTAATCTTCTGCTTAACCATCACCACCTCCCTCTCCCTGCTCTATCAGCTTCCAGGTATCCATCGAGATCCATTCCTTGTCTTCTTTCTTCTTCCTTCCTAATACTGTTGTGCAGGTTTCTTTCCACATCTCTTTCAAAGATTTCCAGTGTTCTTCCACACAGGTTTCTTCAAGTATGTTCCTCGATATCTCCCATTTTGTCTTGATGGCTGCTTTGAAGATCACCTTTGTAGTTTCATCCTCCAGTTTCCGAGTGTTGTACTTGAATTGAGGTCTATCACCAGCTTCCTTGAAGGCTTTCAACTTGATTTCGAAGGTTCCTTGCACTAGACAGTGAGTGGTCTGAACCTACATCTGCTCCTCTTCTTGACCTTGTGTCAAGTAGACTGCGTCTCCATTTTCTTGAGATTGGGATAAAGTCGATTTGATTTTTAGTTTGTCCTAGTGTCTGGTGAAATCCATGTCGCTTTGTGGATATCTTTGTGCCTGAACACACTGCCTGGCCTCTAATCACCAAATCGTTGAATGCACAGAATTCTGCAAACAATTCTCCATTCTCATTCATTTCACCTAGCGCTTCGCAGCCCATGGTTAGTTCTCTTCTTGTGTTGTCCACTCCCAGTTTGGCATTCATGTCGCCCCACGCATTAGAATTTTGATATCGCCAACTAAAGTGGTGTCTTGTCCAGTGTTGATTGCAGCTGTCTGTAGAATTCCTCCTTCTTCTCCTAATCTGCATTATTTGTAGGTGCGTAGCATAGTATTGTATGATTGTGACCCTCCTTCCTTTTGAGTTGAACCTTGCTGTCATGATCCTGCATGAGGAGATTGGTTCCCACTGCATGACAGCCTTCGATGCTGTTGGCAGAGGGACATCATGATAGCCACTCGAGAATTCAGTGTCCTCGTGGTGGTCGTCTGGGTGACAATATCGGAGAAGATTATTAATTCTGCAGTTGGCAGTTTCGAGAGTCCAATCTCATTCCATCTGCTTTCGCGAATTCCAAGCACTTCAGTGTGATACCTTCTCATCTCGTTTGCAATCTGGGCTGCCTTACTGGGTTCTTACATGGTGCGCGCATCCCATCTCCCCACGTTTACTTTCGCTTTCATCGAGGGAGAGAAGACACATCGGCCAATTGGCTTCCTGAAGGCTTTCACCAACTGGCATCATTTCGCCTCTCCGATTCCAGCGAGGAATAATTTCGTTATTATTTTTTATATCGTTTGTGCTTTGAAGTTTCTTTAGCGGTTAGATTTGTTTTCCGGTGTAGGGTTGCTAGGTGTATGCCGAACCTTCCCTCTTTACCCGGAATGGCTAGCAACTAGTGAACTAGTTAACCAGGCGAGGTTTCAGTACGTATTAACGCAGTCAAATATCTTTTACTCCTGTTAACCATTTAATGCATATTTGTCTTTGCGTCATCTTTCGCTTAGCTGACAGCTTACTTGGTACACAAGAGACACCGATTGCAACCCCGGGACGAGTAGAGAGAAGACCGAAGCTGGCAGACGGGAGAGTGTATTACCCCGAGAATATAATAATAAATCAATCCAAAACACCTGAATAAGTACACATAAAACTGCGGCATCACAACATATAAACTCTTCTGAGGATATATATGACATTTAGAAGTAAAACAAATATATTTTGCAGGTGAAATCAAAGATCAATTCATATCAGGAGAAATAACAGCAAACCTAATAGTGAGGTGAGAAGGAATTTATGATGGAACAATCATCTCCTCAAGAATATAGGTGCTCCTCATTAGATGTCTAGTAAGGCTTCCGACTGATTAATTCAACAGTCTAATGTGTAGTGACTATTACAATGAAATTAACGTCCAAGTCATTGGTTTTCTTTCTCAATAGCGAAAGTACACTCCATTACGTTCACTGAAGTCATACAGTCCTACTAGGAATCCGATATGATGAGGAAAGCTACAACTTTTAAGATGTCATTTTTCTCTAAAAGTTTGGAATTAGTTCAGGTTTTAAAAGATGTAACACAGATTGTAAACTGACCGATAACTTTACCTTTTTAATTCTCTTTGCCATTTATTAGCTTCGTGAGGCATTCATTGAACAGCGAAGGGAAATTCAACGCCTAAGGAAACAGTTGGCAGAAAAAGATCTACAACTTGCCCAATTAGAAGGAGATATAAGGCTCTATGAACCATGGCGTTAAGTCTAGTCTGCGTAACGAAACTATCTCTGTTTTGATTCTGATGACGATCAAATTTTCTTTACATTTCTTCTATCACTGAAGTTCGGCTCCTGTTGCAACTGTTTTCATTTACGTTTACTTGCCTCATCAGTTTGTTTTTTTCTTTAAAATATGGGAAAAAGCTTGGTTACCAATACCTAAACTGGATTTCCCTTCAGAAGGATGCATAAATAATGAACCAAGAATTAAGTATACCTTCAACTAGGCACTCAATAAGACTAACAATTTTAATCATATTAATCACAACCATGGTTTATGTACCTCATTTCATCTTAAAAAAATTACTGTTTTATAGGCTATCTCATTTGAAAATTATCTTTGAGTGTATGATTTCTAAGGTTTCTATTATTTCATGTGTTCTTTCTTTTTGCGTTGAACGGAGAAGCAGCAAGTGAACATTTTTGTGGTTTGCCCACTTATTCAGTTTGCAACAAATAAAGAACACTTGATTATCTTGTTCAGTAAACTTTGTTATATAAGTCACATGAAACATTATACTTGTGAGAGTGTGTAATTTTACTCTTCCAAGTTAACTTGCGGTTTATAACTGTTCCCGATAACTAAAACACTTGTTGTTTCGTTTCTTTTGTTCATGTTGGTTGCTTTAGAAACCTGTTAGAGTCAGAAAATAGGTAAATAAATGGTTGTGACTGGCACTGTTTACTTACGTTTAAACAAACATATGAGTCATTTTACAACGTAGGTTGAACCATTGTCAAGGTAAATGGATGCAATTTGAAAATCATAACAACCCGTGTCTTATTTGACGAAAGTATCAAGTCGAAATGTTGTTTTGAAATCAAAGCAGAGCTGTCACTTTTAAGACATTTAGGTTCATCACCCACAAGACTGAAACTTCACGCTGAATTCATTACAGAGGCCAGTTCTAGTCCTGGTCACCCAGCGGTTTGCCATGCCAGATCACCTGATTGGTGATCTTCTATTAGTTTCAACGAGAATAGCCCTGTATTTATTGCCAGCTAGCTGCTCATCGGTTTACATAACTCACGTTCAAAGACGTTTAGTCAGTACTTGATCATGTGGAAAAAGAGACGTATGCAACGAAGAAACTTCCTTTACAGAACTAATTCTGTAAGCTATATTTTCACGCACAAATATTGGAAATGAAGGAACACTTCAAAAATGATCCCGACGAAAAGTCGAAATACACTTAATACTTAAAGGAGGGTTACCAAGCACACATAAGGAAAATAAACAAACGATTATAAAATGAAATATGATTACATCATCAGGGAATAATCTGGATAGGTCAATTAAACTTTTACGATAACCACGGCCGAGAAAGAGACTGAATGCACTTTTTGCGAACGCTCAATGATGGCTTGTGCTTCTGAACTGCTAAAGTCTATGTTACACCTGGTTGTCTTATTCTTACTGTCTCCAAATGATTACGTTTCCCTTTAAGCACAGCTTTACAGGATTTGTCTAGGGTTTATTAGTTATTCTCTCTCGGAGCTGAACATGCAGGCGGACTAGTTAGTGTCACTGAGTGCAGTTTATAAGGTGAAGCATGATTCGGCTGACTCAATATGCCACATAGAAAGAAGTTAACTGATATAAGCATACCAATGAAGCCTAAATTTCCAGCCTGTCTTCTATATGCTGAAGAGTAAGTTTCTGAAAGAGAATGCGATTCTGAGATTAGTGGTTGAAATTTTCTATTTATTGATCTCGATAGTTAATTTCTGAGATGTTTGGCTCATTGTCATGCTTGAACTCAAGGCTTGACAGTGGAATCCTACTCGGAGAAATGTGTTCGCTTTAAAATAATACCTCTCATTCTTGAAGTTTTATCTATGAATTCCAATGGGTATCTTTTTTTCTCATAATGTTTCATAGGTTCTTTAGCTCGTTTTGGGTACTATCCTTCATGGATAGGGGTAATTTATAAGATTCCTCTTGGTGTTTGAGGAAATACAGCTCTGAAAATTAAATACTTTTCCGGTTTAGGTGTGTTTTGTTATACATAGATCACTGAAATGGAATTTTATTCTTTCGTTAAAGTTCGACATGCGAGAAGTGGGATTTCAATTACTTGTTCTGTTTTTAAGGTGAATTTGACAACAGAATGAGGAGTGTTAGAAGGTGGAAGTAAATTTTTTAGGTTAGTATTCCCAGAGAAATAATGTAGGTGTCATCTGTGTATCTTTTATAAGTACGAAGCTGACAGATTATTGTTGACAAGGTAGAGGTGGTATCCGTTTATTCCAACTGAAATATGTTCAAATTTAACGTGATTCTCTGATGTAAATTAACTTGTCAAGTTTAAGCAATTCAAGTTTCTATGAACACTATCTTGAAGTAACTACAATCTCTATAAACCTCAAACTGGGTTACTGTTCAGTGATCATTAGTTACCTGCATCTAAATGGATATCCCGAAGTTCCAACGAGAAACCGTGACCTCTGTGATCAACCATCTGGAAGCAAAGCAGATGCCAGATGAAAACCTTGGTAGATAGTCACACTGTATTGCGAGTTGATAAAGTAGGAAACTGTGAACCAAGCAACTATGGCCCAGTTTCTGGATGGTTAATGCATTCGTCTTAAGACTTAAATGTCTTCAGTGTGTTTCTGATGTTGTGGTTATATACTACTTAGGAGTCCCACACTACAACAGAACAGCTATCTAATGATATTAGTTTCTCAATGGTTCTCTCATTGATTACAGTTCGTGATGAGTACAACCTTGAAATGTATTAAATCCGCATAAACTGAATTTCAGAAATGTCTATTTTTTTTATCTCATAGACTTAGTTGCGTCGACGAAAATGAAAGAAGCATAAAACAACTGGAAAACTACTTCATGCTCCGTAGTTGTAAAAATGAATCTAGTGCCACTGAATTTTATTTTTTTTAAGTTCTAATTTGCAGATAAATATAAGTGAGGTAAACACCAGAAAAAAGTGCAGTTTGACTAGAATGTTCAAATTTCAAGGTAGGATTATTAACAACATAGTTTAATTGATTTAATTTTATCACGTGTCTTAACTCGTCGGTCATATGAACATTAGTGTCAAAACGTTTGCTTAATCATGGCTAAATTTGAACGGGGTAGAAACAAAATATATAGAGTGACTTTTTTCTTAGCTTCAAAGAGACAGTTAGATGCTAATGGGAAATACATTTCGCAAAAAGTGATGCAATTAAGGAATAAGAATACGAAAGGTGTTTATTTGCCTTTCTTCTTCCTGTTTCACAAAAATCTGACTTTTGCCTTGTTGAAATACAGTTTTCTAATCTGCAACTTCCAAGCCCTCATTTGATAGTATGTCTAATGTCTAAGGTGTCTGGTGATTCGTGGGAATTTATAACTAGGTTTCAGTATTTATTTATTTGGTAGCCAGTTTATAACAACTTACAACCGAGTGCTGAGGTCATCATACGTTTCAAAGAGCGAGAGAGAGAAGGTTGACCAAAGAAGATAAGAGAAAATAGAAAAAACATTTGAATTTCCTCATGGTATCATGGGATCCACAAGGTACAGAAACACTTAGTTTGCACCAAAGCCTATAAACGCTTTTCTAAAATAATGGCGAGAAGTAGCTGTTACAAATAAGAAGTGATTGTTGATCAGCATACAAGGTAATGAACACAACATGGATAACATGAATTGCATCACAGCTCGCCTATGCCATTCCGGTTGACTGTTTGAAGGAACTTATCAGCTTGAAAGTATTTTTCATTTTCAGTTAGAAAATGATTGAAACATCAATGTAGCTGTTTCATCTTGTTTCATGAGTCCTCAACAGTGAATACATACAACACCTGGAACAGTTGGACTCTTGACCACCAAATTTCCATTTGTCCTTTGATATATATATTCCAAATTTCGTGAATTCACATAACAATGGAACTATCATCCAATTTTGTAGGTGAACATCCGATTCAGTCTTAAATTCCTTGAACCCATAAGCGCTGACTTCCCACTGGGAGTTCGAAAAGTTTGTTTTGAATATATACCAATCATTATACTCGTTTTGAATCTTCAGTTGACAAATAATCACGGGTGAACAATGAAATCTGTAGCCCGTAAAGAGCTTTTAAAACTAGTTATATAGTTTGCGTACCTAGAATTCGTGTATAGAGGGATGTATTACCAGTGATTTTATGTGCGTGACAGTTTTACCTGGACCCTTTTAAAATAGGTTCAGTCCTACCAAGCGGGAATCCCGCGTACATTTTGTAAAGTCTGTGAAATAAATGATGCTTGCAAATTAATGAAACCAACCTAGAGTAAAGGATAATATCTTGAATGAAGACAAAGCTAACCTATTCTAAAAACTCAATCGATTCTAAGCAAATAACATATTATTCGTTGACAAGCGTAAAAAGGGAAACTGCTTCCAAAGCAACCACATACCTTACATAAGGGAATGTGACACCTAGTTTCCTAGTTTATGATGTTATCTAACCTAAAGTGCCACGCCTAATCTTTAAGATTGTCTCTGGTGGTTTTAAGTCAGCACTTTGAGAACAGCAGTCAAATAGGTTAGTACCTTTAATAAAGCATAATATGTTCTTTCAGGTAATTATCATTGAATGTCAAAAAAGTTAAAAAGCAGACACTCTTTTCGTGTGCTATCATCCCTTCAGTCCAGTGCGGTAGTTCAGTGGCCATTTGCTCGTGGAAAAATCTAGGATGCATTGGAAACCAAGGTGATGATAAACACTTTACTACTCATGGTTAGTTTCCAGGATCGGTCTCAATAGTCTACTTCTGAATACAACCTCTTTGTACAGCTGCCAATACATTAGATATACGCGCTCCTTGAAACGACATTTAATCCTGATAACTAACACTGGTCAATTCATGATGATAAAAAGCTAACCATTAAATAAATCAGCAACTAATTTCCACTTCCAGATATTTCATTGTCATCGAAATCCTCTCGAATGAGCTGGGTTTTGGAAAACGTCTAAGTAATCCAGTGCATTTTTTTATGAGAAAACTTAAGAACTAAATGAAATGTAACTGAATATATACAGAGTTTATCTTCACTTTTCTGGTTAGCAACGTCATACCAATCCTATGAAATCTGTTTAACTTTATTTATATAGTGATAGCATATAACTGTCCTCCGTTCTTTCAGTAAACTATTTAAGGAGTAAAAGTGTAGTAGATTGTAGTAATTTAGTAATTACTAAACGAAAGAGTTCGATATATACTTAATTCAAATTCTGGTGAAAAAAATTGTAAGTGAACACTCGGAAAAAACAACAGAATTCGATGTATAATATCTTGGAACTCACTGATAAGATATTTAAAAACCTCTAAGACATTACAAGTTGTTAACTCCTGATAATTACAGACTTAGTAGGGAATCAAGTTCTTCTAGTGATAAATTCTCTGTATCATTGCAAAGAACTATGCTTACCAGACTGTCAATAGGCTACCTATTGCATCTATCTTACGGGTGTGAATAGCTTAAAAAGTGAATGAGGGTGAGTCTAAGATTTATTTAACAGTATGACAAGATATGAAAGTGAATCAATATGTCACGAAGTTTCGATAAGCCTGTGCTTATTAGAGCTAAAGATTTTTTCTGAAATGTTTCTTAACTGGAAGCGTGGCAAAAAGCAGTATCCAGTCTACACCACGGGTAAATATTACCTGACCATTGAGTTTTAACAT